TTGCCATTTCCCAGAGCCTCGTCCTTTCCCTTCTTAACCTCCTTGACCTAATCAAGGTCGAGGAGCGAAAGGATGAGATGGACGATTTGGAGGCCAAGCTTCAGTCGCTCGTCGATGAGGCCAAGAAGAGCAGGGATGATGCCATCGAGGAGAGGGATTTGGCGAAGGCCCAACTGATCAGCCTAGACAGCGAAGTAACCAAGTTGAAGGCTGAAGTCGCAAAGCTTACTCTACGGGCTGATGAATCTGAAAAGAACTTGGCCGGGGCAATCGTGGATGCCGAGAATCAGTATTCCGAGGGGAAGGTCGACGGGAAGATGGAGGCCGAGGCAACCTTCAACGCCAGACGGGCGCAGATCATTGAGGAATTCAAGGCTTCTCAAGAGCTCTTTGACATCCGCAATAATGATTTCCAGTCGGCGGGTCAGCAAATTGTTGATCTGATCAAAAAGGAGCGTCCTGATTGGGACTTGGGCTTCCTCTACAACTCGCCTCCTCCTGCTGGCGACGAGGAAGTGCCCCCTCCTGGTGGCGATGAAGAGAACGCTCCCTTCCTTGGTGGCGGCGAGGAGCCAGCGGATGGTGGCGACGATGCTTAAGGAACTATCTTCTATCACCCCTTTTTTTTCAGACAATTTTTATGTTACCCGTATTTCTATATAAAGGCAATGGGTTTTGTTCATTCCTTGATTCATAATCATTGATTTCCTTTCTGTTTCTCTTTCGAAAATTCCTTGGAATTTACTAAGTGCCGTCTTTCTCCTTGGAGGATTTGACGTCGAGCTTATCCCTTTGGGTCGTCGTCTTAGGAAATTCCTTAGAATTTCACTAAGTGTTATGTCTTTCCTCCTTGGAGGATATGACGTCGAGCTTATCCCTTTGGGTCGTCGTCTTAGGAAATTCTTTAGAATTTCACTAAGTGTTATGTCTTTCCTCCTTGGAGGATTTGACGTCGAGCTTATCCCTTTGGGCCGTCGTCTTAGGAAATTCCTTAGAATTTCACTAAGTGTTATGTCTTTTCTCCTTGGAGGATTTGACGTCGAGCTTATCCCTTTGGATCGTCGTCTTAGGAAATCCCTTAGAATTTCACTAAGTGTTTCAAGCGCCTTCATTCCCCCCGTATCTGTTAAATACACCATTGGGTTTTCTTTTAAACAGACACGTTATTAAGGGGTCAATCTATCTCATGCTGAAAACCTATCAATTTACTATATTTGCAAAGAATGTGTAATAAAAAACGCATAACTTTATACATTATTGGTAGTACAACCTTAGTTGCTCAGCGTTCCATGGGATTTGAACCTTTTTGCCGTCGAGGTTTTCTAATACGTAAGTGTCAGGTCGTAGCACTCTCCTTATGCGATAGGGTCCTTCCCAAGTTGGGCCCAAGGGACCAGTATTCTTGGGTTTTGTGCTTTGTGTCACCCTTTTTAATACTAGGTCTCCTGGGGTGAACCTTCTTTGCCGGACTTTCTTATTATAATATTGCGTCGTCCGTTGCTGATAAGCGGCGAGACGTAGTTGGGAGTCGAGTCACTTTTCTTCCAATAAATCGAGTTCTCCGTTCATGCCCTCCGTATT